GAAATGAGACTTAGTGGTAAGTTTCTCTTACTAGTTCCACCATGGTCTGTCCATGCCATTTTGATTTGAATTTTTTTTATTTGTAGTTGTCTTGTACCGAGATACAGTGCAAAGTATTGTTTTGCGTGCTATCCAGACAAATCGTACCTTACATAAATACATCAGGGTAACAAAGCAATGCAACGGTGTTACAGCTACAGAGAAGGTGCAGAGAAAGATCAACTCTAATACATGAGAGGTCTGCTCAAAATTCTGATAACAGCAGGGAAGAAGCTATTCTTTAATCTGTTGGTGTTTTCAAACTTCTGCATCTTCTGCCCAGTGGAAGAGGGTGGAACCGGTTGGGAGGGGTCTTTGATTATGTTTTTTGCTTGCAGCCTTATTTATGACAGATGATTAAGAATGATAGCGATATAGAAGCATTGAAAATAGGTGCGGGAGTAGGCCATGCAGCCCTTCAAGCTGCACCACCATTCAATATGATCATGGCTGACCATGCAATCTCAGTATTCCATTTCCGTTTTCTCTCCATAGCCCTTGATCCCTTTAGCCGCAAGGGCCCGTCCAGCTTCCTCTTGAATATTCCTATTGAATTGGCCCCAACAGCTTCCTGTGGGAGAGAATTCTCCAAGTTCACAACTTTGAGTGAAGAAATTCTTCCTCATCTCAGTCCTGAATGGCTTACCCCCTATATGTTAGCATTTAGTAACAGTTGATTTGGGTTATGCTTTTCACTTAAGCATGTTAAGTTCAAGGTATTCAGTTGTTGTTGAGTGTGAAAGATTTACAACTTGATGTCTGGACATAAATCGTGACTGTCTTTAGATGAGTGAAATTCATAGCCAATGGTAACTTTTGTTTTAACTTTGGCCTTGCAGCTTAGATAAATTTTGTATGTTAATACATATTGTGTTGTTTGTTATGATTTGAACCCCATTGCGGCGGTGGGTAAAGTTAAGGAGAAAGGATGATTTAAAGACATCACCCATTTCTTTAAACCACTGAAAGGGACATAAAATATGCTCTGCGGCCTTTACAACAAAATTGGAGAAATTTGATTGAAGTGCTACAATTGGTTCTATTTATTCTAGATCTAACTGAGTATTTTCAACATGTTTTGCATGATGCATTTCTGTATTAACTCAGTAAAACAAAGTGATATCTAAAATTACATGCAAATTTTGAATAGCTAGTGTTTCATGGCCATAACCTTGGGTTCACGCCATTATTATGATGTCTTTCAGACACTTAATTAACAAATTACCTTATAATTGCAACCAAGTATTTGTTAGTTTCTTGATGCTGATTCTACAAATGACTAGGAAATTCATTTTATTTTTTATATCTTCTTCATAACTTTTTGCCAATGGTAAGCCAGTGCCCCGTCATAGCTTTTCTGACTCAGCTTACAGAGATGTGAGGGGCATCTTCAGTTTGACTCTTGCTCTTTTTCTTTGTTCAGTCCACTCCATTCTTTCTTTGTAGAAATGTGTAGCCTTTTATCACTTTTCTGATTGCTTTATCACAATCAGTACACAAGGGTTATGGAGGAGCAAAGAAAAATGCAAGGAATAGAAAATAGGATGATCCAAGTCTGCTCTGTTGTTCATGTCTGATTTTCTGCCTCAATCCTCTTTGCTTATCCTCATCACTTGATATGTTTAGTGCCCAAAAATCTGTTGATCTCAGTTTTGAATATTCCCAACAATTGAATACCCATCGCAGTTTTTCTAAGATGGAAATTCCAAAAAAAAAATACAACTTTGAGGGTAGATATCTTCTCTCATCTTGATTCTAGAAAATTAAGTTCTGGAGAAATGTTGTAAAATCCATGGCTTTAGTGAAAAATATTTCTTTTTCAGGTTGTTTTAACTCGTCAGTGCAGTCTGATTTCACCATGGGCCCATAATAGGCATAGTGTAAGGCACTGTAACTAGCTTATAGTCAAACACCAGTTGAGAAGGGGAAATGCCTGTTCAATTACTACTTAATGGAACAAATTCCTGTTGCATCCTGTTATGAATATTTATTACTTGATATTTAGCTAACCTGTAGTGTATTTATCATAACTATTTTGCACGGAAGATGCATTGCTAATTGTGGTGTGAAAGGTTTGGTTGCATTCCATGCAAGTCACCAAAGGACTTCTGCCTTGATGCAAATTTTCCATTCAGACTGAAGGATGCCTTTATGCTTTAACCCTTTGGGTCCTGATCGACCTTAGAAAAATCATTTTGAGCAAAGTATGCATTAAGTATTAAATGGCTCTGTATTTCTCCCAATTCTGTTTTCTAAATGTCATGCTGTTAGAGATATATAGGTATTGTTTGCAGATATGTGATCAGAAATGTGTATTCTACTTTAAAAGCAGTGAAAGGGCATTTAGTGCACTGAAGGGATAAACAGACAGCTGCTCACACAATGGCTGGCAGTGCTCTAGTGCCATCTTCCTTCTGTTTGTGTCAGACAAATGCATCGAGTTTAATTTAAAATGGTTTAATAAGCTCTGCTTAATCCTTGGTAAACAAAACTAGGAGGGAGGTCTACTTGTTGGAACCTCTTGATAATATCGCAATGCATAATGACACCTGTGTTATTTGTTTTTTCTCTCTGCAGAGTTATTGAGGAAATCTGCTGAGCACACACTGGTAGACATGGTGCAGCTGCTGTTCTCAAGGTAGACTATAGAGATTAACCTGTCACAGCTCTCCCTCGGGGCTAACCAGGGGCTACTAACTTCTTGTGCTTTGATACCTTAATAAAAAAAAAAGTGGGCTTGTCTCATTTAGCCCTGGCACTGCAGTTTTGTTTCTGAGCAGTGCAAATGTAAGAGGTTTTTTCTGGACCAAAAGAGGCTTTTTAAATTATCCTTTGAACCAGCAAAATTTTTAAACAGGTATGTCATTTGATATTGAGTTTGATTGCAGCTGTATCCTCAGGGAATTATTTGTTTATGTACTTTTAAGTTTGTAAAATATTTTTGTTCTCTGGTTCAAAGTTATTCTATTTAATAGAAAATAAGTTTAATCATCTGTGTCCTGTTGCCTTATAATTTGCACCACCTTCATATCTAGGCATCCCATTTCTTCAGTACCATTTCACAAGTTGAGTTGACTTACAGTTAGAGTACTTCCAGATCTTTTGGCTATCTGATTCTTGAGCAAACTATTAACAGCATGTATGGTGCATGGAGAAATTTTCCTCTGGCTTGTTTATGTATGCGTAAGCTGGCAGCAATGGACATGTGCATGGGTGTTCTGTCTTTTCGAAGTAGCTGCCTGATTTATTCATCAAAGCACTGTAAAACTCTCAACTTAACATTTATTTTCAGGGTCAGCTGTGGCAAGTCATTTATCTGCAGCTAATGCTGGTGTTCACTCTGCCACTCATATTTTAAGCTTTTTGTTATTTTTGATAGAATGATATACTGCGGTGTTGGACGCCTGAGTGCCAACTGGAGTGTGGCTGAATGTGTTTGTGAGCAAGTAGATTTGCTCGCACTGCGCTGGCAAGGTCATCTGATGTAGCTCCTGCTCAGTTGATCCTTCTGTTTTTTTCCTGAATCCCAAACAGATATGTCGTTTCAAAGGGATGCTTTTTTGTTTCCAAATGAAGCACATTTAGTTTTATTGCAAGTAATATATTTGCAAGTGACATTCAGTTTTGTTTGGGGTTCAGATTTAGCTTATTATAATTGGTTATCCATGATATTATTGCTATCCTTCTGTTCCCTACGTGTTTCTTCTCTGTGGGGATATAATTTCCTCTTTTCTAAAATCATAAATTTGTATGCAAGGTATCTTTAGAATTGAGTCTGTTTGAGCTACTTCTGGCATGCAGTAATAATTAAGTGAAATCCTTATGCTACTGGCCTCGTTGTACATTAAAAAGATTAATCATATTTTCTTCCAGTGGTGCACGTATAATATTGATTGGATATGTTGGGTGTATTTTACCCCCTTTGTGGAGGCATTGAGAAAGGTAAATAATTGAGAGGATTGTCCCTGGAGATATGATCATCCCGTTCTTGCCACTTTTAGCAATTAAATGTTGGACGAGAATGTCCTTTGGGGAGTTTCTCAACTTGCCAACAATTAAGGCCCTTAAATGGATAATTAATGGCCTCAACTTACCACCACTCCAATGTGTGAAAAGAACTGGTTTCCTGAAGCCAGGGCGATATGCTGGCTGAGTTGGGAGAGGATGCTGCATTAACCCCAATCAGGGCAGAGATGACTGGCATTGAGGCCACTGAAAGCCAATGCCTAAGTCCATTTTGTTTGCAACCCCTACCCTGCAGCAATCAAAAGGAAAAGTCTCAGTTCCATGCATTTGGATCCTGATGACTTGGCCTCAACCGATGGTCTTCAGGACCCAGAAGCTGCAGGCTTCTGCTGACGACTTCTAGTGAGGCAGGACTCTACAGCCAAGGTTTGCAGTTGGCCAAGAGGCTAACCAGTCTGCTCTTAAACAGATGGGAACTGTGATCCAGTGAATATTCTTGGTGTTGGGGACAGCAAGTCACATCCCCTAATCCTAATTTACCCCCTCAATTAGACCAGAAATTGGAGAATTGCAGTCATTGTTTCAAATAACTGTGCTAACATTTCCATCCATAAATAGTTAGTTGGATCTGACAATTACACTTTATAAGTCTTCTATGACTATCGTAATATTAATCTAGTAATATTCGGGAAAATTGACCTAGACATTTGATATGTCCAAGCTATTAGTGGTGTCTGTGGACCACTAATTGTGAAAATTTTGTTTACACCCTTTTTTTAATATAGTTTGCATTTGTTTTTACATCTACTTGAATGTAATATATTTTTATGTCCTGTTTCTTTGTTAACAACTAACTGGAATCTCCTTTCCATCTTTTTCTTTACATTTCTTGTACAGATTTTTCAAAGCAGTAGGGCTTTTTTCTGATTTGACTAAGCACTAGCTCTTTGGATTTGCCCTTTAGAATGATCTAAGGCTAACCACCTGAAAACTGGCAGATATTCCTTTTGGGTATGTTTATACTAAAACTAAGGACGTTGTTGGCAGAGTAGGTCCTTAGAGATCAATATGAATAATAATCAAACTCAATTGCAGCATGCAAAAGTTATAGATCACAAATATAGAGAAACTGTGCTTACTTTTGGGTGAGGCCAGGTCAAAAGGGAGTAAATTCAAAATAGTCACTGACAGAACAAATTAGGAATTTGGGAGAAATTTCTTCATAGAGTGATAGGATGAAGAACTTAGATGGAATGATGAAATGGGTAGTTTTGATGCATCTAAGAAGTTCCTTAGAGCATACTGAAAGAGAGTGAAGGAAATGGAAGATGTGGAGGTAGATTGGGAAGAGGTATTTAGAGTAAGTGAAGTATAAACATGGCAGAATAATTGGGTTCAGTGACCAATTTCTGTCCTGTGGATTTTATGCAAATTCTATCTGTGCTTCTTCTGAAGTTATCGCTCTTTTGATCTTTTGTAATTGGCAAAGACATGAGATGTCTTTTCAGATTTCTGGAAACGTGACATCTCAGCAAGTTTCTTTAGCGTTGTCGTATCTGTGTTTATTGGTGGATTTTTTGATTTCACCATGATCGTTTGTTTGCTTTGTTTCCCCTCTGCTCTCACCCCAAATTCTGAATCTGGTTTTTATTGCTTCTCCAGTCCACGTTCATGATCTAATTTCTAACAGTCTATTTAATGTGCAATGTCCACAGTTTTAACTTCGCTAGTACTTTCCAGATGTCACTGCTGAGCTTTTCAGGAATGCAGTTTGAATGAAAATCATCTTCAATTTCGAAAGCAATTTTGCCATCTGTTAAAATTTGGTGATTTATTTTAAGTATTAGAGATTTTTGTATTGATATGTAGATGTGACTTCTCTGCATTCTATGATTATTCAGACACTCTGGGCATGAGAAGAGCTATAATTAATAAGTGTGATATATTAGTTAATGTGTAGCATATGCAAGATATTTGAATCATCCTTAAATGCTTTACTATGTTAAAGACCAGAGTAATCTGTAAAAACAAATCAGACCTGTCTCTCTGATATGGAAATAATTTTTAATATTAGGAAGTCTTCTGTAATGAGTTCTGCTCAGTAAAATGTTGAGGACCTGAAGGGTATGTTCGTTTTGTATTCACATGGTTGCTCTTGGTAGTACTATTCCATGCACACTGCTGATGAAGAGAGCTTATGGGAAGAACAGATGTTGTGGAATTAGAAGAATCACAGTACAAGTGGTAAAATACAAGATTAAATTGTATGGTGGGATTTAGAACATCAAATCTATTTATTCTCTAGCTCAATTTGTGAAGCAGCTTGTTCGATAATACACTGATGCCTGTTGTTTTTTGACCACCCACCTAATACCTGATCTGTTAAATGTTGAGTTCTGTTGTAATGAAGCAGTGCAATTAACGCAAATTGCAGTCACCTACTGGCTGTGGAGGATAAGTATTCTTAAAGGAGTATGTAGGTGCTGCAACCAGAATAAAATTCAAAAGCCCTACAGTGTTTAACATTTTTGTTTATTTGGTAGTCATGGATTGACATTGTGAACTGTTAAGAGTTGACTGTAACAACTCGAGTGTTTTAAGATTGTATCGGGGTATAATTAAAAAAGTCCCTGAAAATGTAAGATTTGGACAAATATCCTTTTAACAAATAAGTTTTTTTTTCTGCCTTGTCATCCATTCTGCTATGCTGAATTGGTCACATTTTCTCCTGTGCTGTGAATCCTTTATCTGACAGTTAGCTGGGTAGGCAGGCGGTGATTCCTCCTAGATTCTACCTTATGCCCCTCTTGAGTCAGAGCTGATTTAGATGATGGTTGTTTAAGTAAATGCATTGGCCAGTTTACCATTCCTGGCTTATGAGGAAATTGGCATAATGATCACCCTCTCAGCTGTAAGTACATTTTATGCAGAACAGATGAGAAATCTCTTGTTCTGTGACTTTGTGGTGCTGCCACAGAGGATTACATAATAGCTGCTAATTCCTAACCTTTTAGCTGGTTTGAATGTGATATAAGTAGATGCTTAACCTTTTACAGGAGCACCATCTCTCTATTTTAATTTTAAAAATCTGTATTCAATTTTATAACCACACATGGTAAGTAGAGATAACAATATATTGATTCAATAATAATGGGGTGCGAGTATAGTAATCTGTAATTTGTGATTAATGAGTCCTTAAACCAAACAGAAAGCTGCAATTAATGGTGTCATAATTAGCTATTCAACAGCATTATTGATGCTTCTGTATGTCTTTGTTTCAAACATTTGGGAGTGGGAATAAGTGTGAAATGAAATATTCTTAAAATAAACTTCGTAACTTTACTAATTCTCCTTGTGTTTTTGAATAACCTCTGATTTTCTTCGGACCCACAGAAGTAATTAGTGATGTTAATAATGTATGCATGAAATGCAAGCTGAAGTTCTTGACAATGCAAGAACTGGTTAGGATTACAAGAATAGTAGAAGGGTGTTTTATTGCTTGGTCCTGACAAGGTTGTCAAGGTTTGGAATCATTGTGCCTCTGTTTGAAAAGGCATCAAAATTGATGAAGAAACTGCAGGTCTATTAGGAACAAGATGAAAAAGGGCTAAAGAATGAAGCAGTCAATGTGGAGGAGAAGCACGTTTGTGGATAAGGTGGATGTTGGCACCCTGTATTGAAAACTACTAACTGTTTTTGGATAAAGTTCCAATGAATGAGTTTGAAATTGAATGGCATAGAAATCCAATTTTATAGTAGAAGCTGATTTGACATGTGGAAAAGAAAGAGCATGTAGACAAATGGAAAATATTCTGGGTTTTTATGATCGATACTTTACTTTTCACAAATTCAGTGTTAAATTCTGTTAACAAGCCAAAGCTGTCTTCACAGTGAATTTGTCATCAATCAGTATTTAAATAATGGTAGTGAGCTTGTAAACAATGTCTAATTTGTAGATGGAAAATAAAGTAATTGAAGGATGTGTGTTTCAGGACTAAGTTACCTGTGGATCATATGATGTATAAAGTTCCATTTCAGGCAAGCAGTCTTAGATTTTATGTAAGATTATACTTTTAAAATGTTTACCCCTAGTCTTACTAAGCTCAATGCTGCCACCAGGCAGTAGTTCATCCTGACTGCCTATCCCATGGTTCCCCTCTCGCCTGCTGATCTCAGGTGATTGGTTAAGAAAGCAGTTAATAAAGTCATTGGTATATTGTGGTCCATAAGTAGAGGTATGTAGTACACGTTGAGAAGCTTGATAACTGGTTTAACTATCCATAGGGTAAAGTATTATTCAGAAAGGGCATGAGGGCTTGAGAAGTTAGAGAAGAGAATTACTGGAATAGACCCATTGTGGGGTTGCAGCTATTTGTAAGGGCTGGAGAAGCATCTTGTTCTCTTTGCACCAGAGAAGGTAAAGGGGAGATTAATGGAAATGTTTAAAATCTTGTTCAGATAGAGTAGATAGTAGAATAATTGACTTGGAAGGTTGATGACCAGCGGGCATGGATTTAAAGCGATTTATGAACAAATCCAGTATAACAGGAGGAAAATCCTTGTACACTATAAAAGGTTAGGATCTCAAATGCATCAAAGGATGGTAGATGCAGATTCAATAGTGGCTTTTGAAAAGGCATTGGGTAAATTTGGAAAATATTGTATGGGTATGCAGGGATAAAGAGCATGCTGTTGGGCTCAATAAATTGTTCTTTGAAAGGACTGTTACAAACTCAGTGGATCTGTACTGTATTAATCTGGGATTCTATATTTTACATGCATTTGGTGTGTATATTAAGAGAGCGGTTGGTTAGCTTAGTTAAATAGCTGGTTTGCAATGCAGAGTATTGTCAACTGTGTGGATTCAATTCCTGCACAGGCTGAGGTTATGATGATGGGTTTTCCTTCTCAACCTTTCCTCTTGCCTTGAGATATCGTGACCTAGAAGCTAAACCACTGCTAGTCGTCTTTCTCTGATGAGAGAACAACCATGTGGTCTTCTGGGACTACGATGACTTTACCTTATTGTACTATGCCACATCCTTTTTTTTGTGGACTATAAACTGAAGTGGAAATTGAGTTGAAATTCTGAGAGAGCGTTCCAAATTGAAAGTGAAGTGCTGCATATTTTTGATTTGTGTAGTACATTACTTTTTGAAGCAATGGGGAGGGAGAATTTGAAACTGAATGTCACCAAGGAACTTTTAAGTTAAGGAAATTTTGCCTTCTGGTTGAACTGCAGAATGTTAAACGCATAAATACCAGGGCAGCAGGGAGAGAAATATCTAGAGCCAAAAAACAGAAACCATCCATCACTTTGTATTGCTTAAAAAAGTTCTAACAAAACCTAGGTTCACCTGGTCAACTATCAAATAGAAAAACAGTCAACCTCAGACAGCAGTGCAGTGTGGAAAGTCAATAAAAAGGACAGAGAATGTAATCCATACTTGAAATTTGAGTTTTTTGATCTTCGGATTTTTGTTTTCACTATCTATATTCTTTTCTTGCCCATGGTGTCTGTGTCAAATTCTTTGTCTCTTTTTTAAATTATGAGTGTGTGTGTGTGTGTGTGTGTTTTGTTTATGAAGGGGTATGGTTTAAGTTGCATAATAGATTCAAAATCCTTTCTCTGTCTTTTATTATAGTTGAAGCTGTTAACTAAATAGTTACCAGATATGGCTCCATGGTTAGCACTGCTACCTCACAGCGCCAGGGACCCTGGTTCGATTCCAGCCTCGGGCAACTGTCTGTGGAGTTTGCACATTCTCCCTGTGTCTGCGTGGGTTTTCGCCGGGTGCTCCGGTTTCCTCCCACATTTCAAAGATGTGCAGGGTAGGTGGATTGGCCATGCTAAATTGCCCATAGTGTCCAGGATGTTTAGGTTAGGTGGGTTAGACATGGGGAATGGGTCCAGGTGGAATGGTCTTCAGAGGGGCAGTGTGGATTTGTTGGGCCAAATGACCTGTTTCCATACTGTAGGGATTCTATGATAGTTACTTCTCTGTTGGTGACGAAATTTGGTGTGAATTACTTTAGTCCTAGGCAGCAGCCTGTCAAGCAAATTGGTGTTCTCATTGGGATTTTATACATTTTGGGGCAGTTTATGGAACATGGGCACTATTATCAGCACACTCTTCCAGTTAACTGTAACAATATATATGTCAAAAAAGGCTTTTTGTTTCAGAAACTGCCCTTGAATTCTATTTGCTATTTTCTAACAGTTATTAACTTTTTTATAGGTTACCTCAGTTTAAAGAAGAAGCCAAGAGTTTTGTGGGAGCCAGCATGAAGAAGGTAGTAAGATTCCTACTGCTTTTGTTTTGGGTAGTGTCCATGGTGAATTTTGGCTCAAACAGAGCAGTGTGTCAGAGTTATTCTGTCCTGTATCTGTGTTTTACTTGTTCGTAAGCAATAGTTTCTTACTTTTGACTGGGTGTGCTTGGCATTGGTTCTTTACTGTGTTTCAGAGTCCAGAGTTTTGAATAATAACATTTGAAAGTGTGCCATGATGGTAAATCACTAATTGACAGGAAATCAAGAATTGGATGTTCACTGGAATTTTCACAACACAAGATCTTTTTCTTAGCTAAAAGGAAACACTGTAGCCTTGGCAATTATCTTGGGTATCCTGTACCATCACTTGCTGTCACAGCTTGTGAAGTTGATTCTAAGTACTGGTGCAAATGCTACACAAATAACCAATCTCTTGGGTTCAAATACAGGCAGTTGCTTTGTTCCAAGAACAAATGTCATTGCCTAAAGGTTCATAACTGATGCCAATGCTGTGATGATATAAAATTTGCGTTGTTTCAAAATTGAAGAAAACGCAAGTGATTGTGAACCAAATGTGAGAAACATACAAAAGACACAAAATTGCTCAGCCTTTAGCTAAGCATGGTTTGTCATTTTTGACTCTTCAAATGCAGATCAGTGGATACGATGAAAGATGGTTCAAAGTTAGAATTGATGTTTGAAATTACAACACTGCCTTCCTGAGAACTGAATCTCAGATCCAGCATTTCTGGTTAAATTGGCCAACATTTTTACTGAGGTGCCAGCATTGCTTTATTGTAATTCTTTCCAGAGGTCACCAAGAGCTTGAGTGATTGGAAAGAGTAGATCAAAATGTGGACTAATTCACCCTTCTCTCTCTTAAACAGTCTTACTTTTTCTCCTATTACTTTGTTTTTTAAACTTTCCAACTCTCCCCTGCCCATACCACCAAACCTCTTTTTCATTCTTGGCACTGTTTTTGAGGAGATTTGTGATTAGGAAGTCAAATTTACTTCTCCACTTGCAATGTTGATTCTCACCAGAATCTGAAGCAAGAACTATTGACCCAATTTTCAGCAACTGGCTGACACCAGAAAGGATTGAAATTTCTTTCAGTACTTGCACATCTGTGGTGCAATGAGGTAAACCCCAAAGTGCCACCCTATTCAATCCTAATATGAGCCTCCTGCTCCAAATCTTTCCTGTGGGATGTGGAGTCTTTTAACTAATGCTTACCACCATGGCTAAAACTCCAGCCCAGCCCATCATTACTTTGATGCTGAAACTGTCTGATGTTTGCTGACTTCCAAATTTAACTTAGAATATCATTTTTTTAAAATGTTAATCAGACATGCGTGCTCTGGCAATTCCAGTACTTATTGTTTATTTCTACGTATTCCTGAGAAAGTGATGGTGACCTGCCTCCTTGAACTACTATAGTCATTGTGGTGTTGATAAACTCTGTGCTGTTGGGTAGAGAATTATGGAATTTTGACCCAGAGACAGTGAAGAGGTGATGATTTTTTGATGGTATATAACTTGACTGAGGTCTTGCAGGTGGTGGTGTTCGCATGTGCTTGGTGTTGTTCCTGTGTACCTGCTGTCCTTGTTCCTCAGGGTGGTAGAAATCATGGGTTCGGAAGAAATTAATTTGTGGTGAATTGCTGCAGTGATATCTTGTAGTTGGCACACTTTGTAGACACTGATGGAAACAGTGTATGTTTAAGGTGGTCCAATGAAGTGAGCTGCTTTGTCTCAGGTGGTGTCGAGTTTTGTAGTTCGCACTGATGTCACTCCCGTCATTACCAGGCTTTACTGGTTTCCTACTCCCTGTCAAACAGATTTTCAGTTTCTCACTTTTGCTTTCAGTTTCTGTCCATAGCTTCATACTGTCACATCTTCCTTCACCTATTCGTCCTTGCATGCATCACCATTCCTCTACTACTGCTTATTACCAGTGCATCATTAATGAGTATTCTTTCAACTGCAGTGTCTGTGACCTCTCTGTTACCACAAGCTTACCAAAATAATGCTTCTTCAGCCACACCATTATTTCTACTCAAGGTTCTGACTCCCTACATGTTATCCCATCTATTTTCATCCATATAAGACACTGATATTTTTTTTGTGAAGAATACATCGAAATATACATTGTGCTTCCATCAGTAGTGATAAAGAATTTATAACATTGATAAATTCTGATACTGGTTATAAAATTTGTGGCACAGATGTTTCATCTGGAGGCTTAATAATATCTTCCTGCTCCAGACAAATAAACACTTTTATTCGAGCATGGTGAAAATGGTTAAATGTCTTTGGAGCATGTGTACAAGAGCTTGTAAACTGAAGTAATATTATAGTTTCTCAGATCAGAATAAGTAACTGTTGTACTCAAATTGACCTAATGTTGAATAAGGATACATTGCGTGTGTTTGCAATTAGGCTGTACCATTACCAACATTCAGTAATTGAGCTTTCAAGTAAGATGTCAGTAATTGGCTTGTCTTGTTAAAGTCCAAGTAAATGGTAATTCCAAATAATACAAAAAGGTGATATTTAACGTGACCCAACATGTCCCTGCTATTATACTTTTAAATATGGTGCATGATTTGTGTCAAGTATTGCATGATGTGATGCTTGTGCTTTGGAAGCTTTTCTTTCAAGTGATGTTGGACTAAAATGAATAGCCTAAGGCATGAATTTCTGTCTTAAATTCTTACAAGTGTGCATTATAATGCACATCTTAATTATCACAGCTTTCACATTTAATTAAATAACAGCACCTTTTATTAGTGTTGAAATGAGAAATGTTTTTTAACCCCTTTTATCACAACTCATTTTGCAACTTGTATACTTTTATTTACTATTTACTGGCAACTGCAATTTTTTCCTCCGAGGCTTACACTATCTCATGGAAAAACAAACGAGTGCAGGTAAGCATGTTAGTCTGATGCAAAATGTGTCAGTGCATGGGAGATGACCAGATGTTTTGTGATGGGTCAAGGCTTTAACTGCTGGTGGGAGGAGAGTGCTGAATGATTGATTGATTGTAATTTTACTAACAATGCTGACATTCTGACAGTACAGATTTACAGCTGTAGCCTACGAAATAGTTCTAAATCCAAGCAAGAAATTTAAGTGAGAATCTGCTCTGAAATGTATGAGGAGGGGTTATTAACAAGTAGAGAGGTTCATAGGTTCTTTGAAGAGGTAGACTTAACTTATTTGATAATTTTCTGCATTGTTAATCTTCCATGCATAACTAAATTATAAGGATTTGTTTGTGGATACATGGATATGCTGCTGCCCAGGAGCTCAGTTTTATGTGCGAATAATTAATTTCCTTTAAACTTGATAGTGGGAATTCACTTTTCACTAGATATTAGGCTAAATGTTCTGAGAGATATCTTGTGAATTTGAGTGAAAATAATTTATTTTTGAAGAACCTGCTTAGATCATACCAGAATTGTATGAATTGCACAGAGGAAGTACAAACTTGAGGCAAATATGACTGCCATTATTGCAAGCACCACTTAGATGTTATGACAATATTTCATCAAAGTTTTACTTCTGTGAGTATTTTGGTTATTCTCTTCAAAGATAGTAAGAGGTTAATAATTTATTGCGCAGGAATAGCTGTGACTTGGTTTTGGAGTCTTTATGTTAATGTTTGTCTTGAACTGGGTCAGAGGTTGCATATTCTTTGCCAAGTAACTCATCACTGATTCCCCAAAGACTTTACCATTATCCACAAGACATAAAGCAGGAGTGTGATGTGTACTGTCTATTTGCTTGGAGGAGTGTAGCTCCAACAGCGCTCAAGGGTCAAAATCACCCAGGATAAAACAGTCTGTTTGACAGACTATTCACCATCTTAAACGTTCAGTCACCCTCTCCATCACTGATGCATAGTGGCAGTACAAGAAGCACTCACTAATGCAATTTGCCAAAGCTCTTTCGACGTTGTCTTCTAAACCCTATGATCTCTACCGCATTAAAAACCCAAGAGTAGTAGGCAAATAGGGTCACAGGCACCTCCTCTAGATTTTTTTTCTAAGACATGGATCATCATGTCTCAGAACTGTATTACTGCTTTGTCGTTGTCATTGTATCAGAAACCTAAAACATTGTGTATATGTACCTACACTGTGGACCAAAGTAGTTGAAGAAGACAGCTCACCACCACCTTCTGGAGTGCAAAGGGGATACATAATGAAGGATGGGTGATAAACTATAGATTTGCTAGTGATGCCCACATCCCTTGAATAAATTTTAAAAACTATTTATGACCGATCTACTGATTTTGTAAGCAGACAGCTAAAATTGAAGCTAATATAGGACATTGCTGCATTCTGTTGGGAATGATTGAAATTCACTGGGGAAAAAATATAGACTGAAAGTAACCTAAACTGAAGCTGAGAGAATTAACTTAGTAAATGCATTCTTAGAAGCTGCACTAATGCAGTAATTAATTAATTACGTCCATCAGTTTACTGACACATTTATTTTAATTTCTAACTCTATATCGAACCATTTAAACTGCAATGAGATGTTATAAAGGCTGCATAGTTTCAGTCAAACACTTGGAATTCAAATAAAATTTGTGTTAAAATGCTTAAACAAAACTAAAAATACTGAAATTGCATGGATTCTGCCCAACCCTGATGAGAGGAAAATTTATAAATGTCTTAATTATAAAGCTTTAATCAGAGTTAAAAGTTCTGAACCTTAAGCTGAGCAATTTGCAATATTTGTTTACGTTTACCCATGTAATTTTTCACTTGCATTTAACTTATTACTAAAGCTATTGCCATGTTTGTACAGAATTAATCATTTTGGATAACACAAGTGAAACTTATTGTTAAGCTGTATTTCCTAACATCTGTGTTTTTGCCCTGGGTACAAGTTGAATGCACTTGGAACTAGGTTATAAAGAAGGCTGTTCCCTGCCCTCAAATGCTTCCAGCGTATACTTTGTACAAAGGCTTTCACTGAATGGTGGTGCTGTGATAAACAGCATTTCTGGTTCCATTGCAGTTCAGCAAGTGGTTTTTCCGAATCATTCAACCTAGCTCGACTTTTGTTGTACCTAGAATGCATGTTATGCAGACTGAATAAGATCTTTTGAGATGAGGAATATCTTGCCCTCAATTTGGATAATATTAATTGTAAGTTTTTAAAAAAAATGTTATTTCAAGTTTAAGGTCTGATGCTGATGTTCAGTTTATAATCATAAGCCAACTGAGATCTGCACTTAGCTGCAGCCATGTCCAAGTACCGTTGTCTGATAGTTTTCTGGTCACCTTCCAATAAATCTTATATATTTTCTCATTTAATTGTAACAAGGGCATGGTAACTGTTTGAAAAGGATTTCATTCTGAGGAATTGCTTTTGTCATTTTAAAATGAATGTGAAAGAAAACATTTTATTGTGAAGTAGATTGAGTATTGGGAAATGAGTGTTACCCACTGCAAAGAAAAACTGAAGGAATAAATATCTAAGTGAGTAAAACTATTTTCTGTATCTGCGTCTTAGAATTTCAAAGCAGTGCCCATATCTTTATATATTACAATTCAACTTTCAGCTTAAAATGAGAGCAGGAGGAATGAGTGATTCGTCAAAGTGGAAAAAGCAGAAGAAATCTCCACGACCGTCTCGTCATGCAAGTAAGCTTCCCCTCACATCAGAGCAACTGTCCATTCCAGGCCAAGTTTTGCACAGTTCAATAGATTCTGTACCTCAGCACTTAAACAATCATCCAGGTATGGTTTAACATTTTGCCCTTTGCTCTTTATGAGGAATCTGTGAAATCAGCCCTTTTTGTGAAAGGTGCTGAAGAATTCCAGCCAATTTAAATTCTGTTTTATTGAAAATCAGTTGTCTCTCTTGAATAGCACTTTAGTTGAATTATCTCATGTACAATCCAAATCTGTAATCATTTCTAAATGTAATCAGTGAGGTCTTTTTAAATAAAAAAAAGTCTTGAAGAAAATTTAGAGAAGAAATCATCTTCTAGTTAGTGAATAAAGGACCTTTTACCAAGGGGTGACCAAGTTTTCTTTAATCTTGATTTGGTTAACTTGAAAAGGAGTCAGTGGGAGGGCAATGATTGATTTTAAATTAGTGTTCACATTCTCTTTGTGGTGTCGATTTTACTCAGCTATAAAGTTATAATGCTTAGCATTAGAGTCCAGATATACTGTGCAATCTCTGGAAAAAAAACTTAAAGCCACAAATTGATCTTTGTTGAATTGGGACACAGGAACTTAAAGTGATGCATTGTCTGTAATTTGACCACTATTACAATGTTATTAAGTCTCATGAGTTGAAAAAAATGAATGAATAATTACTCAGTTTAAGCTTGTGACTTGTGAATCTATATGCAAGATGTACTTGTTGCATTTAAAGGTGAAACACCCTTCCTAGAACATTCAGTTGTACCAACAAGCAGTGCAAGTTCCATTTCAACTGTTATTTCTGAAAATCCGTCAACTGTCTCGAGCCCTACCACGGACAGCGGTATGGAACTTTCTTCAAAGACAACATCAAAAGAAGATCTTACAGATCTTGACCAGGTCAATACTACAGGTATCACGCCAGTAAATACTCCTTCCACTGAGCCTGGTGAAGAGAAAATGTTAGAACTGCAAATCCAGCAAGAATCGCAGGTAAATGCTACGATTGATGGAGGTTTTTAATAATTACTTACTTCCCACCCTTTTCAGTTGTTATCTTCAAACCTTAGGTCATTGCTTCATTTTGCACACTCAAACTAAAGACACAAAGGTAGGTAGGAAAGCAAGTTATGAAGAGGACATAAGGAAGCTACAAAAGATTCAGATAGGTTAAGTGAGTGGGCAAAATGTAGCAAATGGCATATAATATGAGAAAATGTGAAAGTGTCTATTTTGGCAGGAAAAATGAAAAAAAATGTTATCTAACTGGTGCAGAGATCTGAAATATAGTGGAATCTGGGTGTCCTCGTGCATGAATTGCAATAGGTTACTATGCAAGTACAGCAGGCAATTAGGAAAGCTAATAGAATGTGATCATTTATTGCAAGAGGAATTGAACACGAAAGTATATAAGTTTATATTTAGTTATACAGGGCACTAATGAGACCATGAGTAGAGTATGAGATATGGTATTGGCCACCTTATTTAAAGAAGGAAGTGGATGCATTGGAGGCAATTCCAAGAAGGTTTCTAGATGACTACCTGGCATTTGCGGGTAGGTGTAGCATTGTCTTATCATGATCGGTTAGACTTGTAACTGCTGGAGCTTAGAATTGTAAAGGTAACTTGATTGACACACATAGGATCCTGAGAAGTCTTGACAGGGCAGAAGTAGAGAGGATATTTTCTCTTATGGGAAAATCTAGAACTAGAGGTCAAAAAAACTATTTAAAATTCAGGACTCGCCCGTTTAAAATTCAGGAAGCAGAATCTTTTCTGAAGTTGAGTGTCTTTGGAATTCTTTTCTATTTTGAAGGCTGAGGTACATACATTCTTCTTAAGCAAAGCAGAGGTTATCGGGCCAGGAAGGTAGGTGGAAATTCCGATTTGAGGTCACCATTGGATCAACCATGATCTTATTGTATGTGGAGCAGCTCAAGAGGCTACGAACACTTGCACAGCAAAGTCTATTTTCTTTGCCTATCTAAACAGCAAAACATTTCAACTGACATATTTTCAAATTGTTTCGCACACATTTTCATGTAGCAATATGAAAGAAAGAACTTGCATTTAGTGTTTCGTACATTATCCTAAGCAGAGAGTTGCTTTTGAAATATTGTCAACATACCTGACACATGCTCCCATGAAAACAATGAGAGAAGCGACCTGATTATATTCTGGGTGGTATTGGTTGAGAGAGGAATGCTATCCAGGGCATGAGAGAATGTCCTTTCTCTCTTTGGAATAATACAATTGGACCTTGTACTTGTCCATAAACAAGCAATATAGCCTTTGTAGAAAGCTTTGTCCTGAAGATTGAACCACAGACTGTGCAATAGTTCACAAATGCTGTACTAGAGTACCAATCCAGATTCTAGTCTCTACAGTGGGCTTGAACCCAAAGTCTCCTGTCTGGGATAGAAATATTACTAGTCAAGGCCAAGAAAAGACATAGGTTTGATGCGTAATGATTGCAACACTATTATTGTTCATTGTCCCAAGTAGACCAACATTTTGAAGCTGTTCCACCAATTAGAAGATTGTATATTTTATCATACAGTTGGACTGTTGTGAGAAATAACAGCCAGAGGCTCATCTGATGGGTACTCATGTTTCAAAAATCTCATGTAATGGTTTGTTTCTTTACTTTAGTTTCTTCGTTTCTTTTTGATAAAGATATATACATTGCCATCTCCAATTCACCAATCTTGTTCTCCTTGACTGAGTGAGGTCAAGTCTACATTTTCTGGTTGTTGGGTTTATGGTTGTGTCAAACAATTTTTTTCTTTCCACTTATTTTCAATTCTTTGTCAGGCCTTCTATATCTGTAATGTCTAAAGAAGCTTTTAAAAACCAATTGGGTTATCTATGATTGTGACAATAAGTCATGCATGTTGGTGAACTGCCTTCGTCTCAAGTAGACAGTTAGCCCTTGACCACATCAAAGGTTTGAACAATTTTTGAAAATATCTTATAAATTGTACCATGCAAATGAGCTAACATGAAGCTTACTATTTTCCTAGAAGAGTGGAAGAGTAGAAGGCTTTTTGCCTAAGGAAGAAAAGGCTCAATCAATGTCAGTGGAATCTATTCCAGAAGTATTTGAAGATCGCGACTCCCTCACGGAAATGTCCGATACTGCTTCAATCCATGAAGTACATGATATGGACTATGTTAACCCTCGTGGAGTTAGGTTTACACAGTCAACACAAAAGGAAGGTTTGTAATAGTGATCACATATCCTGATTTTAAATAGTGTGCAAAATGCTGATAAAATGGATCCAATTATGAATTTCAATATTAAATCAAATTTGCATCTTTAAACATTTTACAATGCGCTGGTATCATAAATGCTAATTGGCCTGGTTGATTTATGTTCAGATTGGGTTTTGAAAATTTTACACAACTGTGATGTACAACCTATTTCTGTCGATACTGAATTGAAGATGCAGACTGAACTACTGCTTTTATACACAGCTGTTAGAGGTAATTACTGAATCCTTGATGTAACTTAAAAGTGCAAAGCAAGACAAGTAAAACTAAAAATATTTCAGTCTTGAAGTTATTTAGCTTACCTTTAGGAAATGTAGTGCTGGAACTTGAAAAATTGAAATGAGAATAGTATCCGCACAATGCTAATTTGTAAATTGCTGTATTTATTTTTTCATTCAGTGACTTAAATAGTTCCTGCTCAGAAAATTTTCTTCTTAATTTTCGACCTTGGAAATTAAGTTGCACGGAACTGACTTATACGATTGTTTGAAGAGATAACGGAAGCATTAGACAAGGCTGATGAAAAAGCTATAAAAGCTTTGAAAAGATATGTAATAGTAAACTCGTGTCTAAAGTTAAGGCATATGCAGTAAGGACAGACAGCTGAATGGAAAGCAAAAAACAGAAAGCAAACAGTTATGGTGAACGGTAATTATTACTCAGGTGGGTGGAAGATCATATTCCACAATGCTGGGGGCCACTTACTCATAATTACATTTGTGTTTAGGAATAAGTCATTCGATATTAAAATTCTCAGATGATAGTAAACTAGTGTGTATAGGTAACATTGAGAAAAATTATGATATAATATATGGCGGCATTGGAACTGTTGGAGAAAGGTGATATTAGGTGGAAAATTAATTTTATCATTGATAAGAATGGGGTGTTGCATTTTGGCGGAAGAAGTTGGTTCAGTTTGAATAGAGCATGGTGCTTAATAACACTGTTGGCGCTGTTCAGTCCCTGACATAGTTGGCATCTGTCCCTTCAACTTGCCCAATTGTGATATCACGATACAGAGATGTGTAGAGAGCCATGATTGGCACCTCTTGGTCAGTCAAGGTGCAGCTGTATTTTGGAAGAGAAACCAAACGTCACTTAGAAGGTTTTATGAAATTTTAGGTTGCTTCAAAGAATGTTGTACGAAAAGGTGTATAGAAGCAGAGAGATGTGGGTATATATTTGCATAGTTAAAGAGTCATACAGCATAGAAATTGACCCTTCAGTCCAACTCGTCCATGCCGTCTAGTCCCATTTGTCAGCTTTTGGCCCATATCCCTTTAACCTTTCCTATTCGTATACCCATCCAGATGCCTTTCAAATGTTGCAGTTGTACCAGCCTCCGTCACTTCCTGCAGTAGCTCATTCCATTCATGCACCACCCTCAGTGTGAAAAAGTTGCCCCTTAGGTCCCTTTTTAAATCTTTCTCCTCTCACGTTAAAACTATGCCCTCTAGTTTTTGACTCCCCCTCCCCATGGAAAACCTATCCATGCACCTCATGATTTTATAAACCTCTATAAGGTCACCCCTCAGCCTTTGACACTCCAGGAAAAATAGCCCCAGTCTATTCAGCCACTCCCTATAACTCAAACCCCCAGCCCCTGGCAGCATCCATGTAAATCTTTTCTGAACCCTTTCAACTTTCACAACATCCTTTCTATAGCAGGGAGACCAGAATCGTATGCAGTATCCCAATAATAGTCTAACCAATGTCCTATACAGGCGCAACAAATGCATTAAATATGACAGAACAATTAGAGAGCTGATAATAAAGCGTGAAATATTCTAGGCTTCATTAATACAGTAAAAGAGCAGGGAAGCTATGCTAAACTTACATAAGACACTAGTTGGACCTCAGCTGGAGAATTGTGTACACTTCTGGGCACCATACCATAGGACAAATGTGAATGCATTGGAGAGAATACAGGAGAGCTTTACGAGAATGCTTCCAGTGCTGACAAATGTCAGTTATGGGGATAGATTGGAGAAATTGAGACATGTTTCCTTTTAAAGGAGAAGGAGGAGAATTTGATAGAAATTCTCAAAATCCTGAGGAGTCTGGATAGAGTAGGTGGGAAGAAAAAAGGTGCTTGTAAAAAGATTGAGAACACAGGTTTAAAGTGTTTTGCAGAATACTGCATTTGCTGACATGTATTGGTGCTGCTCTGCAACTGCACGTTGCGGCCTTTAGATATGATGGCACATATAAATTTTTGATGACGTTTTGGCCTGAAATCGTGCGCATGCATGTTTGCGAATTAGCACATGTAAGTTGCCCGCAGTTGCAAATTGTCAGCAAGTACTGCCTTTGCAAAATCCAAGGTGTGGGAGAATTCAAACCAGGGAACATAAGTACAAGATTGTTGTGAATAAATTCAATGCACAAACAAGGAGAAATTTATACATCCAGTATAGTTAAAATATGAGATACCCACTGAAGGAAATAAATATGATAATTGACTTTAATACTTTCAGAAAGGAACTAAACAGGTGTACTGAAATAAGGTGTACTCATACACTCTATAAAGAGGCTCGTAGTGTATAAGCACCAGCACAGGGCAGGTTGTACAAATGGCCTGTTTATTGTTATTTAATGCAACCTGTGCGGACATGTTATGAAACACTTCCACAGTGATTGAGACTTGAATCCGGACCTTCTTGCCTGGAGATTTGAACACTGCCACTGCACCACAAGACCCTTAATAGCCGTTTTATATGCTCTATGTTCTACGTAATTTATACTAATGCGTGTGTGCATCTCTTTCAGGTGCAGCTCTGGTTCCATATGGCTTGCCTTGTATACGGGAGCTGTTTCGTTTCCTTATCTCCCTTACCAATCCACATGACCGTCACAACTCTGATGTGATGATTCATATGGGTTTACAGTTACTTACTATAGCACTGGAATCAACCCACATCGCCAACTATACTTCGTTGCTTGGTCTTGTTAAAGATGAACTCTGTCGGCACCTGTTTCAGGTGAGTATTTGATAATTCATTGGATTTTTTGGACTAGTGAATTTGTAACGAGAATATATAACAACAGTGCTTCTTAAACTATTTTTCAGCTTTTAACTGTGGAACGTCTTAATTTGTATGCCACTTCTCTCCGACTGTGCTTCCTTTTATTTGAAAGTATGCGGGAACATCTTAAATTTCAACTTGAGGTAGGTGGAATTTAATGGTGATGCTGAGTATAATCAGACTGGGCAAAGCAGATAGAACCTGCTTCACATGCACATTAATCAGGCTTTGTGGTGGCTGACCATGATGATCATCCTCACCCTACTTTAATCTTGGTATGGAGATATAAAATGCTGTTTGGAGTTCAGAAGATCAAATTCTCTCAATCCTTTTTGTTATTTATTTTAAACTCTGACTTCATTTTCATAAGATTACGTTATAACTGCCCAGTAAAAGGTTAGATGTGCAACGAGGGGTGACTGTGGATGTAATGAACCTAAAAGGGTACTTGTTTAGGATATTGGGGTTTAAAATGGGTTTCTACAATTGTGGATATATTTTTGTCTCTTCTGGCAAAGGATCACTGGGCTCAAAACATTAACTCTGTTTTTCTTTTGACAGATGCTGCCAGACCTGCTGTGTTTCTCCAGCACACTCTGTTCTAGATTTCTAGCACCCACAATTCTTTGTGGTTATTCTTTTGGATTAGCCACCTGTTATAGAACCTACTGAATAGCTTCCTTGTTCTTTTGCAATGATAGAGTTGATTTTAATTTGTAAACAAGTTACAAAAATGTCTTCAACGTTTCCAACAAAAGAGTTTTTTAATATTGCCTTCTATTTCATGACTTCAAAATGCATTTGTTTTGGGGAAGAATTTAAGCACTCTACATTTTTCTGATGAAGAGTTTTATGTACCTATTCATAGCAAAGAACTCCAGTTATTTCTAACCAGTATTTTGCATGTAATAGTAGTTTATCTCTCAGCTTGCACGTTTGTGATATAGTGAATGCAGATTAGTTTTGTCTTCCATGAAAATACTTTTTTTGTTTTTTTTTTTTTTTTTTTTGTTGATTTGTTGTGTTTGATTCAAAAATTATATTGGTCACAGTGAAGAAGCTATTCCAAAATTAAGAAACTGGCATTTTGCAGTTGGACAAGCTTTCTGTTGTCATGTTGCACTGTTGGAGGAATATGTTTTCGAACTGTAGTTGAGACCATGTCTTGCTGGTTGAAGCCATTTATAGTTCTGATATAGTTTATGGTTTAGGAATTTGTAACTGGTATTATACATAGAAAGCTTATGTTTTGTCATCTCTAGATGTATTTGAAAAAGCTGATGGAACTGGTCACCTCAGAGAATCCAAAAATGCCATATGAGATGAAAGAAGTGGCTTTGGAGGCACTCGTTCAACTGTGGCGAATCCCAAGCTTTGCCACAGAATTGTATATCAACTTTGATTGCGATTTCTATTGTTGTAATCTGTTTGAAGATCTTACCAAGCTACTTTCCAAGGTAAACAGTCTGTAGGGAATTATTGATCCTTTCAAATGTAGGGGCTTTCTATCAACTTGAACATGGCATTTCTTAGTTTAATTTTCCAAATAAAAGAACTTTCTCAAAAAATTCAGTATCTGTAACACTGATTAACTTTTAACTTATTAGTGATTCTAAAATTGAGGAAATATAAAGCAGGCTTGAAAATTCTGCTATGGAACAATACTAATATTTTTCACTCACGGGAAATACACAAGTTAATTGTTTAATTTCTTGTTAAAGCATAAATTAATTCCAGTATGATAAATTACTATGTTTTAATACCATGTTGTCTGAGAATTACTGCAGTTGTTCCTACTGATCAAGCCTATACTACAGTTTTTAAAACTTTGTTCCACCCTACTTTATTTCAAGATGCAAGCTTATTCTCCAAGTTTGCTGTCTTTTAAGATCGCAAACAAAGTGCAGAAGAATATCAGCCAATCTCTCTGGATTTTTGATGAAAATATGACTCCTTTAGAATAATTGCATCTGTTCTGTCAGTTTTACTGAACAACTCTCTGTTTCCATTTTTAGAATGCTTTTCCTGTATCTGGACAGCTGTACACCACTCACTTGCTGTCACTTGAGGCTTTATTAACAGTTATTGACAGTACCGAGGCTCATTGTCAAGCCCAGGTTCTCAATAACACTCTACAGCTGGACAAAAGAGATGGGAGCACTCTGACATTGGAAATGAGTGATAAAGACATTCCAAATGGTAAGCAATAGTTCCAGTGGAGGCTGTCTGTTTTTCAGATAAGAAAGTTCTACTGGGTTGGTTGCCATATTTGATAGGCTTGACAATGGCCGTACTGTCAGGGTTAGATGAAGGCAATCACGAAATAAGAAAGCCTCTCAAGGAAAGTTTTTGTCCCGAGTATCTGTCATTGTTATTATTTGAAATGTGTAGGGTAAGGCTATTTACTTTGCTGCTAAAGCTTAGGCTGCATTTTGTGGATGCAGTTTCAGTACTATAAAGAATTACATTTTCCTGTAATTTACTTCTAGAAATCAAGTCTATGAAAGAGTTGTAAGCATGTTAGCTGGTATAATTAGTCTGGTCAAGAAGCTGTTCCCAAATTAATTAAGAAATTGGCATTTTTCAGTTTTGCAAACTCGCTGCTGTCATGTTGCATTGTTGTAACAATGTGTTTTTTGAGCTGTAGTTGGGACCCAAGCCTTGCAGATTGAAGCCATTTCTAGTACTTTGTCTAAAAGGGTGGTTGAATCAAAGTCAGGGATATACTTCGAGGCAAAGAAATTGGTG